TTCTAAGAATCATAAATTTGAGCCAACATCTTTGCAGTGATTTAACTTATATGGTCAAAGGTTCCACCAAAATATGACTCCACATACCAGAAGAGTGGCTGAAATTATCCAGTATGTGCGTTTTCTTTGAATTTCTAATGTTAAGTTTCCAAGTTATTTCAACATCTGTCCTCCAGTATTCTGCCCTCTCACTTCTGGACCTATATTCCAGTATTGCTCCTCTAGTAGGTACAGAAACAAACGTAGTGACCTGAACTGGAGCAATCAGGTAAGTCCCAAACCACAGGAAGATATCAGGGCTGGGGTGAAAGAGCTCAATTTGTGAAAATAAACTGTTACTGTTTCATATTCTGAACCAAGTAATCTATATATTCTCTACAAACCAATAAAGACACACAATCTCAGGCAAAAAAAAAAAGTCAATAGAATGTCTCCTATCAAAGTTTAGTAAACATAAAGTTAAAACTTCTATTTAATTTTTAAGCACATGGTATATTTAGAATTACATGACATTTCAGAAAGATACAGAGAGCTTTGTGGAACTTTGTCCCAGAATCTCATACATTATAATTTATCCTTCAGGTTCAAGAAGCAAAGAAAGATAAGGGGAACATTTTGTGCTACTCTAAAAGCAGAGTGAAATCCTTTCTTGTATGTAGTCTGCTGCCTCAGTGTAGCTCAGTGTCTTGCTCAGTGTTTTTCTGCTGTTTTTTCTTTCTCAAAGATTCTTTTAGATTTCTGCATGATACCATCCACAGAGGACAAATCCTGCCAAGATTACCATGTGAGTTGCTTTATTTTGATCATTTGAATTTATTTTATTAAAATTCTTAGAAGAACATAAAAATAGTAATGTAGTAGACTTATGATCTACTGTAGAAAGCAAATATTGATTTCATTCGTTGTATATTATTTACTTGTGAGAATATTTTTACATTGTTTTCCTGAAATTCTTATGTTTATTAGGCTTTGTATTTTCTTTTGTAGTTTTGTGTAGAGAATGAAATTCTAAGAGATCAGAAATAGCTTTTAAGAATTTATTTCTACACCAATGAGTTACAAAGCAACAGAACAATGCTTTTCTATAATATTTACTTTTTAATTTAATATAAAATTGTTCAATTTCTTTTTCTCCTCTTGAAATGATTTGACTCTGAGTCCAAATTTTCAACAGAACCATAGACTTGAACATTTTGCTTCTGAAGAACTACTTTTGGGATCTACTCTAAACTAATAATTGTTTAAAAAATAATTGTGTCTTTACAGATCGAATATAATTTCAGATATCTTCAGTGTCCTTTGGAATTAAACAGAAAATTAGCCCCTGGACAGGAAGTTCGTTATGAGCCTCTTTCAATCCTCAATGTAAGTGTAGTGCTTTTGTTGTCCAGGTAATTTTGCATAACAGTTCCATGCTTCATGGAAAGGGAAGGGGCTGGCAAGCATTGCAGCTTTATAATTCATGTCTAGGCCTGCCATATCGCCTAACCCTTTCCATTTTTTAATAGAGAAAATAATCATTTTCTAATATTTTTATAAAATCATCTTTTTAAAGTTTTACACTTCTGTACTGTTGGTCATGTAGCCACTGACACAACTCAGAAATAAGTAAATCACAGACAACACAGGCAACATTTGTCTACACCTCTGTCCACCTCCCCCTTCCATATTAAAGGTTATCCTCCAGTGTAAGCCACAGCAAATGGCCATAGCTTTCAAGTTTATCCAGTGGCTAGACTCTAAGTAAACTCTGTCCTTTGAGAGATAGTCATATTCTTCTATTTGAATTAATTTGAAGCATACAACATAAATCCGAATTTCCCAAGACTTGGGACTTCGTGGTCTGCTCTCTTCTCAGTAGGCCTCTTCAGTACTTAAATTCAGACACAAATTCAAATCATTCCCTGGTGAAGTTCCCTTCAAAGTGAGATGTTTTGACACATGTTTCATATTCTCTGCATCCCGAGAGAAAAGCCAGGAGTTGGGAAGTTTATCCCCAAGTCTGTTCTGTTCCATAACAAGGAGCCATGGTAATTAATTGCCATGAAGTCACCTCCTGTCATTCATATGATTCTTCTTGAATATACACTCAGCTGAGTTGCACAACTTCCTACCTGAGTTCTAGATACCTCATAAAGGCAATGGTCGTTGGATCACTGTTAGTGTTTCTGTAGAGAAAGGAGGCTCTGAGGCCTCTTATTCCGTCATCTTGCTGACATCAGTTCACCTGTGTGTTTACTGAATGATTAAAAAGTCCATTTAAAGGCATTCTAATAGTTCTTTTTTTTTTGACATATTTTATTTTTTTTATTTTATTTTTTTCTTTTCAAAGTTTTATTGATAAACATATAGCAATGAGACAGTTTCAAATCAAATCAAAAGTACAGTTTCAACAAATAATACACTGCATATATTCTTCTTAGTGGTTAATTGCTGTACAAGATGCAGACTTGTGATCCTACTTACAAACACCATTAGAACAAATCATTCTATTCATTAAGAGAATGCAACTATATATCTATCCCAACCACTTTGAATACACAGATACAAAATGGACATTCATAGTTATACCCCAATTTTTTTTAAGTTCCGTTGTTGAATATTATAGGTGTGTAAACTCAGCAAAATATTCTAAAAGAGTACAGAAGCCCATAATAGCATTGGGTCTTCTGTTTACTTGGCAATGTCAGAAATTATTGACATGAGTCCCCCACAGCTCAACATAACAACATGGCTTTACTTCCTATATTTCATCTTCATACTTTTCTACTGGATGGCTAAGACCAAGGTAAAGCAGAACCTATGCAACAAGAGTTGTAGCTTTTTGGTTTGAGAAGGTCAGTGAAATGCCCTCAGGATTTATCCTGAGATCCTGTACCTCAGATTGTAGAACCTTTGTCAGTGCAGCCATGTGGATGAGTCACGGCCATTGCTTGGCCAATGTGCTCTCTGTGAAAGCCTGAGAGAGTGTCTTCTCCTCATGTGACTCTCCTTAGGCACACTCCACGTCATCGATCAATTTCCTCTTTGGCCCCATAATCTTCTTGATCAGAAAATTTGGGACACTACTGAGGTACATGACGTTACAGTACAAGTTCTCATATGTCCTGAGTCTTAATTGACCTTAGAAGGGTAGGGCCAAAATGTTGGCTTTCCTTGTAGCCCTCCTTTTTCTCTAATTTTGGTCTGCAAACTTAGGTTGTTAACCATCCAGAAGACAAGCTTACTGTTATTATCAAACAATTTAGGCTATCAAGCTTAACCTCACTATTTCACTACATTTCAAACATCTTAGGCATAATAAGGAACAGGTACTTAATAACACATGAAAATTCAAAATCTACAGATTATGTCTACTTACAGAGCTTTCTACTATAAGCTTTTTAAGGAAATACTGAGGGTGCAGCCCTAGCTAATTTATCTTTGATGTCCTTTCTTATCGTAAGATTATCATAAGATTCCTGGGTAAGATTAAAATGCCACATGCCATCTCAGCTAGTCAGAGATGAAGAGATAGACTGAATCACTGAATCAAACAGTTGTACCTACTTAAAACAGTCCTTGTGCTTTTGAAAATTTTCTGATATAAAAATGTTTTAAGATAAGCAAATATTAATTTTAGAATTTCAAAATAAAGTTATAAAAACAAAACTAAAAGCTTACTTTATACTTAGTTGTTTAAAACAATGTATTTTTATTATCTTTTCCCTTATTCCTCAGGTCATGGTACAACACAATCGCATAGAACTTCTCAACCATCCTGTGTGTAAAGAATATTTACTTATGAAATGGTGGGTACTGAGAAGTATTGTTTTTAAGTAAAGTCACCATAATAATCTAGAAATCTTCTAAATGATCATATTTTAAAGGCATATTAATGGCTTAAATATTATTAAAGTTGTGTACTTTGAAAAAGAAATACAATTCTAAGGCAAATTTTGACAATGAAGTTGTTTGACATTAAAATAGTTGAACATTAGAGTTGGTGTTATCTTTGATGCTACATGAATGGTTTGAGGAGAAGAGGAAATCATTACCTCAGACATCAAGAAGCATGTTGGAGGGACCCTGTGGTTTAGTGGATAATGAAACAAGAAGTGTTCTATAGGGGAAAGCACTCGACTTTCAGGTGAAACATGGACTTCATTCATGAGATTTTAGTCATGATTTGCTAAGATATTGAGAGTCCTCTGAAAATTAAAAATGCAAATTATAATTTTTTAAATGTATTTGGTTGTTATAAGGTCTTACTACGCAGCTCAGACTCATAATGATCCTCCTGCTTTTAACCTGTGTAGTGCTGAGATTACAGGTGTGTGCCACCATGCCCAGACTTGTCGCCATCATGCCTGGACTCAGTCACCAGCACAGCTTGAGAGACCGGGGCTGAACCCTGGTCCCTGTGCTTGCCAAAGCAGGTACCTTAGACTGCTGAGCTATCTTGCTGGCCCAAAGATTCCCCCCAACAAGGAACTTTTTTTGGTCTTTTTTTTTTTTTTTTTTTTTTTTTTTCTTTTTGCTTACCAGGAATCAAATTCTGGGCCTCGCATTTCTAGATAGGTGCTGTGACACTGAGCTACACCCTTGGTCCCCAAATAGACCTCTGAAGAAAATTAGAATCACTTTCTTTACAGGTGTTTTAAAATATGTATTTTTATTTGAAGTGCCTCACTCAGTTATGGCTTGCTAATCTTTCTGTAGGTGTGCCTATGGATTTAGGGCCCACATGATGAATCTCGGATCTTACTGTCTTGGCCTCATACCTATGACCCTTCTTGTCATTCATATAAAGCCAGGAACAGCCTTCAATTCAACTGGAATAATCAATGAAACTTATGATCATTTGGAAATATTAGACACTACAGTATGTTAAAATTTCAACTTTTTATAATAAAAGACAATTTAAAATGTATTTTCCTTATTGTTACCATGCCAGTAATAAAACTGTAACATAAAGATTTTGATTATTACGAATAGGCTGTAGAACCATTTCTAAAATCCTTTGTGGAATAAGAAGAAATATAGGTGAATAGGTCAAGGAATGAATGTTTAGTTAATTTTTAACCATGACAAATATAAGCTGCTTAAATTCCAAAATTTAACACTTTAGAATACTTATGTATGTATGCAAATGTATATATGTATGTCTAAAATAAAGCAGATTTATAGTTGCCAGGGACTATGAAGAATAGAAAATGAATAGCATTACTTAGTAACATGGAGTTTCAGTTTGGAATGATGAAGAACCTATAGAACTAGATAATGATGATAGTAGTTTTACATTGAGAATGTAATTAATGCCATTGAACTATAGGATTTAAAATGTAAATAATCATGAATAATGTAAAGCTTTTAAATTTGCACATTTTACATTATGCGTATGTTGTGACAATTTGAAAATTTATTTATTTGCGGTACCAGGGATTGAACTCATGATCTTGCACTTGCCAGGGAAGCACTTATTCTATTGAGTCATCTCCCCGTCCCTGACAATCTGAAAATTACATAGGTGTATAGATTTATATTCCTTTCATTTCAATTGGTAATTTTGAATCTTTCTTAGCAAGGACCTTACAAAATGATCCTATGCCATCTCTACTAGATGAGATGAATATTTACACCACATGGATTGTCCATTTAATTAAGATTTGAAATATATATATATGTATATATATATATATATTAAAGAAAAGAAAATATTTAGTAGTGAGAAATTATGAAACTGCTATTGTCATTTTATATTTTTCATAACTACTGTCTTTTTTCTTATTGTTTCAGAATTCATATTCAATAAAAGTTTGTATGATTTTGGTTTTTCTATCAAGTATATTTGGATATTGCAAAGAAGTGGTCCAAATTTTCCAACAGGTATGCAATATATTTTCGATCTACAAAAATGAAAATAGTATATTAATTGACAAAAGTATTATAATAAAATTATATAGGTAATATACGTATTGTAAACAATAAGCATAAACTTCACAATACAGTAATCAGATGATTTTAGGTACATCAAACCTTTTGATCTATCTGAAAAAGAACCACTCCGGATGGTCATCTCTGGCTACAAATGATTATTATGAATGACTTTGCTGAGTCTTTTTCATTTTAAGTATTTTGCTGCCATAGATTTTGAATTTTATAATTTTAGATGTAAATATTTATTTTAAAAACTTATCTGGGGCTGGGGAGATGGCTCAGTGGAATAAGCGCTTCCCTGGCAAGCGCAAGGGCCTGAGTTCAATCCCCGGTTCTGCAAAAAAATAATTAATTAATTAATTAGTTAAAATTAAAATTAAAAAAAAAAAAAAACTTATCTGGCTCCGGAGTCCATCTCAAATGAGTCTGTCTTTCACATTTTTTCTAAATATAATGCTATTTTTAATGGGTAAAATTCTAAGTTATAATAAAGTTTGAAAACTTTTTATGCCTTGAGTTTTTACTTCACAGTTCATCTTTTGATAGGGTAAGACAAGCTTTTATCAAAACTATTTTTTTTTCATGTATTTGGTTCAGGGTCCACAGGGTCTACAGGGCCTCACTACATAGATTGGACTCCTAGTGATCCTCCTGTTTTCAGCCTCCCAAGCACTGGGACTACAGGCGCATACCCCCAAGTTCAGTCTAAATCACCATCTCAGCGTGCCCCAGGGGTGGAGCTCACACAGCACGTCAGGGATTGAACCCAGGCAGCTAGGCCCTGCCTAAACAGGTGCATTAGTTCACTGAGCTATCTGACCATCCCAGAACTAAAAATTATGTCAATTGTTTTCATTCCTTGCTTTGATAGATAAATTACCTAAGTCCCTTATTTTTTCTTCTCCTGTTTTCCTTTTTTCTTTTTTTTGTACCAGTAATTGAACTCATGACCTTGCATTTGCCATGCAGGCACTGTGCCATTAAGCCATACCTCCGGCAAGTCCTTTATTTCTAATAAATATTTAAAGACTTATACACTTTTATGTACTTGTCAATATTATTTTAAGACATATATTTCTTATGTAGCACCTCATTCTCAGTGAAAAATTTTTGTTACATCATACAAGCTTGTGGATATTTGTATTAAAGAAAGTTGATAAAATGTTTTGTATTATACATTTTATATATTTAAGTAAATTTTCACAATTCTAAGAGTTAAACTGTGTTTTCTGTTTGAGTTTAAACAATTTTAGATCATACTATTCAATTTATCATTTTATTTTTTTATTTGTTTGAAATGAAAACTCTAGATTATAGTTTAAATTGAACTATAAAGTATCATGACTTCTCTATCAGATGTGATATTTACATTTTCTTGAGATGTAAATATTTTACAAGTGAGAAAGTTAATGTCCAAAACATAATCTTCCTGAATACCATTATGATTTATTTATATTTCCTGATTAAGTGTCAGAACAAGTTTCAAACTCCTTTATAAGTGGCTTTAGTTCTTATTATAGAGATCTACATGCATGTCCTTACATCCACCAAAGATCTCAGGAACTGCTAAACCAATTTGCAGTCTCTTAGAGATTTCCTTAAGGTAGAGCATTGTCCACAGGGAAAGTCCAAAAACATGTAGGATTTCCTTCAATACCAGACTTCCTTAATACTGGTGAGCCTGTGACTGAACTAGCTCCAACCCTGACCCATACATGAAGTGTTCTTAAGTCCACTCAGAGTGGCAGGAGGAGGTCAATGGCCTTCACCGTATGTATAACCATCCATAAGATGCCAAGTATCCATATGTCATAGTCCTCTGTTCTTTATAATTCCAGAAAAGAAATTACTTCTTAGACTACAACAATGCTCTGGAATGGATTATCTACACGAAGAGCATCATTTTTGTGCTGCCCTTGTTCGTTAGCATCCCGGCATACGTGCAGTGGCAATGTGGAGCAATTGCAATATTCTTCTATTGGATGAACTTCTTAATGTATCTTCAAAGGTAAAACCAGACTGAATGCTTTCCATAACTCTTAAGCAATTTTATCAATGATATACTTCATGAATTTAGAATTGTCTTATGCCTATTCTCAAGTTTTGTATGCATATATTTTGTATCTTGTTTAAAAAAAGGGGAGGCTGAGAAGTTTCTGGAATTCAGAACACGAGTATAGGCCAGGATTTCTGAGGCTCAGCATGGTTGAAATTGTGGTTTAGTGTTTTGTTTTGTTTTTGGTGTATGTGTGTGTGTGTAGTGGTGTGGGGGGATGTCATCTTTTGTGTTGTAGTGTTCAGAATATCCCTAGCTTCTCCATTTGGGATGTTCATTTGTGGCAGTCAAAAAATATCCAGGCCTTACCATGTCTCCTTAGTGCCCTGTCTGCCTAGGATGAAGCTCCTTTGTTTGGACAAATCTAGATTAAATGTAGAGATTAAATGAAGTGAAATGTTTCCTTTCCTTGTTTTACCTGATATTATTTCATACGCATTTACCTTGCATTGACACTTTCAAAATGAAGTGATAAGTGGTGGAAAGAATGAAAGATATATAAAAATAAAAGTCATATAAAAATAGTATAAGTCCAAAGAATCTAACTCAAGAGAGGGAAGACAGATTGATTCTCTTACCTGTCACAATTACTAACATTAAGCATTACTTCATACAGTCTTCTTTAATAAGAAGTAAATGTCATTATGTTCCCTTTCAAAAGAAGCTGAAGCAACAAGCCAAAAGCTGGTGAAGATCTCAGCAAAAAGTCAAGACATAGGCCTTTACTGGAGTCTTCTGCCACCATGGGCCATGCTTTTCCTTCCTTTTCACCTACACTGCCGTGTCACGAGCACAGTGATGCTGAGTAGAGCCTGGTTACTTGGAGAGGCTGCAGTGTGTTGGAAAGAACTGTGGCCCATGGGTAAACAGAACTCAGCTGAAGCCCAGGCAGTGCTGCTCCCTGTTTTGATTACTATCAGTGACTCTGTGGATTGCTAGACATTTCTGAAGTACTTTTCATCTGTTTAAAATTGTTATTTTATTTTTTGATGGACCCGTAATAGGTGTCCATAGTTACCAAACACAGTATGAAGCTTTGAATCATGTACATATTGAATAATGACAGTTTTAAAATTTTGTGATTCCTTTCCTTCAACAAATTGCATATAGTGAAGGATGTCTCAGTTACTTTTCTGCTCACTGAGGCTAGCTATCCAACACCCACAAATGAAGGGAGAAAAGGTTGATTTTGGCTCACAGTTCACAGGTTTCAATGCATAGTTAGCCAGCCCTAAGGCAGGATGGAATGGTAGAGAACAGTTCATGGTTAACAGAAGACAGAGGTAGAAGGCACCAATCAAGGGAGCTAACAGCAACAAGCCTCTTTCGGTCCCTTATATTATATCTAGGGAAGGTGGAACTTGTGCCCTTAATCCTAGTGCCCTTAATTCTAGCATTCTACTGTGAATCATCCCAGTGTCACACACTCTAAATCCAGCCTCTTCTAAAAAAAGTCCTATTTTTGACCACATGAACCTTTGCGGGGGGGGGGGGGGGGGGGAAGAGGGGATGGACATCCAGACATAAGCTAGAACAAAGGAAGAATATCAGCTAGTGACCAAATGACATATCCAACATTTATCCAGTATTTTACAATTTAGGGGTACTAGGGTGCTAAGCCAGAGAAGGAAACAAAAAAGTTCAAGAAGTGAGAATGTGGATCATGCATTTTATGTCCTATTATAGGTGCCTTAGGAACATAACTATGATATCCTACACAATTTATCTCTAATTCCTTTATCAAGCATTGGTTATCATTTTCTTTGACACAGAACACTATATTTTTTTTAATGTCATGGTTTTAGTAAAATAATATCCAGTGGTCACTTTAAGTGATGAAAGATAAACATGACCAGGAAAGAAAGAAAGAGTTTGATAAAGCTTGAAAGGATAATCTGGTCATTCACAAATTTTCATATTTTTTTTTGATGGATGAAAAGTCCGGTATGAGGGAGTAACCACTTGAGCTAAAGCCAACCTGGATTGGACCCCCAGCCTCTGTGCCTGCTTGCAGTCATTTTAATCCACTGAGCTATTTGGCCGGCCCATTCTGTTTTTGAAAATAACTTCTCAACTATCTAATGTATGAAACTCAGTACCAGACTGAATGAATGATATATTTTGTCACTTAAACCAGGCATGATGGTGCACACCTATAATGCCAGCACCCAGAAGGCTGAGGAAGGAGGATTGCCATGAATTTGAGGCCAGCCTGGACTGCACAGCAGGTTCAAGGCCAGCCTACACCATATAGCGAGACCCTGTTTCAAAACAAAACAAAAATTTTATCATTTAATAAAATATTTGCTGACCATCAAAGTAAGTGTTTTATTTTTTCCTTCTCTAGGTTTGAAAATTGTGGAATCTTTATTGTTATGTTGGAGGTAATTTTCAAAACTTTGTTGAGGTCAACAGGAGTATTTATTTTTCTTCTTTTGGCTTTTGGACTCAGCTTTTATGTCCTTCTAAATGCACAGGTAATTTGTTGAAACTGTACTTTCGATTTGATTTGAAACTGTCTCATTGCTATATGTTTATCAATAAAACTTTGAAAAGAAAAAAAATGCACAGGTAAGGCAATTGTATCTATTGTTGATTTCATCACTGTGAATATTGGAAATATATATGTATATATATATGTATATATTTAAGTCTCAGTGACCTACAGCATTAATAATCAAAAGAATATTAGAGTAATTAATATTTTCTATCATGTAGATTTCAAGTGGTTTCTATTTCAAAAATTTACAGATTAAATTTTTGCCACTGTCAAAAATTTGTAGATAATGCACAAATTTGTTGTATAAAATAAAAGAACTTTTTCATGACTTTCCTATAGTTTATTAACATTAATTTGGACTGCATTTCAATAGCTATATGCCTATGACTTCTTAAAATATTCTTATATTTTACTTTCATTACACATATTTTGCATTTCACTTTCACCGTTCCCTCTTTTCTCAGGATGCCTTCAGCTCCCCACTGCTTTCGTTGGTCCAGACCTTCATCATGATGCTAGGAGATGTCAATTATCGAGATGCGTACCTTGAGCCTTTTTTGAGAAAGGAACTGGCATATCCAGTCCTATCTTTTGCACAACTTGTTGCCTTCACAATGGTTGTCCCAATCGTCCTAATGAATTTACTTGTAAGTAATTTATTCTTGTGTTTTCTGTTTGTTGATCAACTGAACATTTAATAGCAATAATTATTCTTAAGAAATTATTCTTGGGGCCGCGGAGATGGCTCAGTGGAATAAGTGCTTCCCTGGCAAGCACAAGGGCCTGAGTTGAATCGCCGGTTTCACAAGAAAAAAAGAAATTATTCTTAATTTTTAATGTCCCTGTGTTGGAGAAGGCAGCTGTGTTAGACAGGTTCATGTCACTGAAACAAATATCTGAGGCAAAAAACTTAGAAAGAGAAAGTTCTTCTGCAGCTTCCAGTTTTGGAGGTTCAGAGGCCTCATGTCTGTATCAGCTCAGTTCTGGCCAGGACAGAAGATGCTGGCATGTATTAGTGTTGGGATACCCACAGGAATAAAATAATCACATCTTAAGCTGGAGGGGTGGGGGAGACAGAGAGAGACAGACAGACAGACAGAAACAGAGTAAGACCGAGAGACAGAGACAGAGACAGAGACAGAGACAGAGAGACAGAGAGAGCAAAGATGGGCAGTGCCACAGAATCCCTTTTATGGGCATACCTAGTGACCTAAGGTCTTCCTGTAAGGCCTCACCTTTTAGTAGTGCAAGGTATCTTCCATATACTGACACTCTGGGACCCAGTACTTTACATACTGGTTTGTGTTGGGAGACATTCAGTACCTAAGCAATAACAATAGAGAAAGAGCCACTAAAACATCCACTCATTCAACATTTATCTAGAGTGTTAGGCACATCAGGAAATTAGGTAATCAACAAATAAGTATGTACCACAGTGTAGGAGGGGTAACATGCTATGAAGAACTAGGAAGCTGAGTAAGACAATTAAGATGAAGGTGCAGACTGATTTTTTTTTTTTTTTTTTTTTTTGGTGGAACCAGGGATTGAACTCAGTCCTTTGCGCTTGCCAGGGAAGCGCTTATTCCACTGAGCCATCTCCCAGACTGCTTTGGAGCAAGGGACGGGGGCAGAGTTTAGGCACAACCTTCACTGAGGGTATTGCCTGCACCCCTAAGTCTCTCACATATCTAACTAGGTCAAAGCAGATTTAGGCATACATTTCCACATGGGAATTTCTAGGGAGTGTTCTAAAACCAAGAGCATTTTGGCTGATGCAGGCAGAAGTGGATCATGGCTCCAGGTCCACAGAGAGCCCTAAGGGCTCTTTTTTTCCATCCGTTTGTACATGCTTTTACATGTCTTTTTAGCAAGTAGATGATTGGCTTTGATGGGATCTCTTGGGAGCAGGAGAGAACCTCCTTTTAAAGGCTTGCAAACTAAAATCCAAAAGCTGGGTGTAGCGGTGCGTAGCTGTAACTCCAGAACTCTTACGGCTGAGGGAGGAGGATCACAAGTTCCATCCCAGCCTGGGCAACTCAGCAACTTACTGAGACTGTGGTACAAAGTAAAACATTTTTTAAAAAGAAAAAGAAAAAAGAGCTGAAGAGGTAGCTTAGTGAGAAAGTTCTGGGCTCTACCTCAATATCGAAAAACAAAACACCAAAACCTGAACACTGCCAAATTAAAGCCTCTGCTGAACACATGCTAGTTCTCAGTGCTAGTCTGAAATTTATTTAGTATTTTCTCACTGCTCATTCATTTAGCAAAATTACATAGGCTTTGCAGTGTTCTGTACAGTATAGTAGCAAATATTATACACAGTCACTACTAGTAGACCACATGTCCACTCCTCCAGTTTGGCCAGAGAACTCCTGTTATGGTTTGAATATTTGTAACCCTTCAAAATTTACACATAGACACCTGATCCCAAACATGTAGTATTTAAAGGTGAGGCCTTTGAAAGATATAGGGGCTGATCGGATAGCTCAACAGACTAAAGCACCTACTTAGGCAGAGTGCAGAGGCCTGTGTTCAATCTGGCCTGCACTGCTGGCCCTGCCCCCAGGGTGCACTGAGATTTTGATCGAGACTGGGCATGGTGGTGCACACCTGTAATCCCAGCACTTGGGAGGCTGAGAACAGGAGAATCATTGAGTCCGATGTGTGTAGTGAGACCCTGTAGACTCTGTACTAAAATGCAAAAACAAAAATGAGTAAACTATGAGTCCTTGTGAATACATGAAGGAGCTTCTTCATAGCACTGTCTAGGATGGATGGACGCTCATCAGACATTCAATCTCCTGGTGTCTTTATTTCAGATTTCCCAGCCTCTAGGACTGAGAACAATAAATTTAAGCTGTATCTGAATTCCTTTGTTGAAGGTTTTCTTTCTTATGGAAGACTGAATGGCCTGAGACCTTAAGCACATTTTTAAGCAGACAATTACAATGTCACGGTTAAACTTTGTGTCATATTTCAGATTGGCTTAGCAGTTGGTGACATCGCTGAGGTCCAGAAACATGCATCACTGAAGAGGATTGCTATGCAAGTAAGTGCTATGTTTATTTAGCATTTATGGACATTGATGCGACTGCAATTATTTGCAACCAGGAATAGCTGACTTTCTGAGAACAGTGTTTTAATGTGGATATTTTCTCAGTACTGATCTATGTAATCCTGTATCCATGTGTTTTTTGGCATAATAAAAGTAGCAAGACTAGGGTATTTTCCAAGCAAGACTATTGGACAATATCCTAGTGTAACTGAGAAATTACCTGAGCCCCTATTTATGCCAACATGTGGCCAAATGCACAGCTAGTTGCTAGACTAGAAACTTCAACGGAGTGAAGTGCTATATTTTGTCTAGCCCAGCTGGTTTTATTAAATAATTTTATTGAGAAACAAATAACATTGAGACATCAGTTTCAAAACTGATTACTGGCACAGTTTCAATAATTAATACATTGTATATTGTTTTCTTAGTGGTTATTTATTGTACAAGATGCAGACATGATATCCTGTCCACAGACAGTATTAGAACAAATCTCTCTATTCATTGAATTAAGAGAGTGCAGCTATATATCTATCCTAACTATTTTGAGTATACAGATATAAAATGGTCCTTCATTTGTATCCCCTTTTTTGGTTAGTTTTGTCAGAGAAGGGCATTCCATTGTCATTTAAATATTGTAGGTATGTGAATTCAGCAAAATATTCCAATGTAGTCCAGTAGTCCATAATAGTAGTGGGTTATCTGCAGAACTGGCAATGTTAGAAGTTGTTGACTTGAGCCTTTTACAGCTCAGCATATTAATATGGCTTTACTTTTTATACTTTGTTTTTATACTTTTCTGCTGGATGGTTAAGTCCAGGGTAAAGCAAGACCTATATAACAAGAAATGTAACTTTTGTATCTGATAAGGTCTGTCAGATCCCCTCAGGATTTACCCTGAAACCCTGTACCGCAGCTTGTAGATCCTTTGTCAGCGTCAGCCATGAGGATGAGTCACGGCCATTGCTCTCTTTTGAAAGCAACTCTTCATACTTTATATGGAAGCACATGGTCCCAATATCATGTTTTATATTGAAGCTTTGACTATATCCATATAGTGTTGTTCTCTTGTGGTATCCCTTTATTTTTCTAAACAATTTGATATAAAATTTGCTAAAGTCCAAAGTTACCGGGCAGTTACTTGGCTACTAAAACTTCTGAGGTACTTCTACATCATCAAAAGTTAATTTTTAATTGTATGATCTTTACATTTCAAATTTGAATGAGAACACTTGATGCTTCAAGAAAACCTGCTGAGCAGTTGAATATACGCATTTGAATTTTTTTTTTTTTTTTTTTTTTTTTTTTGGAACCAGGGATTGAACTCAGTCCCGTGTGCTTGCTAGGGAAGCGCTTATTCAATTGAGCCATCTCCCCAGCCTCCTGCATTTGGAAATTTATGCCATTTCAAGGGGAAAAAATCTTGCTAAGATAGAAATTTCTTTTTATGCTCATCTTTTACTTTCTTTTCCACAATTCTGATGATTTTTATTCCGCTAAACATGTGCCTTTAGTTACTCAGAAAACAGTGTCCTAAAATGTGGCATTTATAAAGTGCAGTATAACTTAGCAAGGGAAGTAAATGAACCTGATGACTGACTTTATTAAGTAAAATATACCTGCATATTACACTGGCTAGACAATCAGAAAGGGTGGCTAGCCCAGAGGACAGGGAGCTAGCTCAGGGGCCTAAGTGCCTGCCTGACAAGCACAAGATCCTGAGTTCAATCCCTCGTACCAAAACAACCACAAGATGCATTCAGTGAATGAAAGATAAAATCAACTTAGAATCTTTCTCAAGTACCATGATCTGTGACTGAGCTATTCATTGTACAGAGAGCCTAAAAGTCAGAAAATTGAAAAATATACATAATTTAATGTTTATCAGGCACAGAAAGTAATTCAAAAGTAATTAAAGCAATGCTACCTAGGAGGAGTAGGATGAGCCAGAATGACAGGAAGGTGGCTTTGCAAAGGGCAGCGGGACTGTTCCAGAAAGGATGGGCCCAGGAGAAAGGAGCCCAAGCAGAACTGGGGGAAATTGCTGAGGTACCACAACAGACCCCCTCACCCAGAGGGTGGTTCCAGTGAGACCATGACAGGGATGTGAAAGATGGCATGTTTTATTCAAAAACAAGAAAGGCTTTAGATTTGAAAGAAATGGTGGTAGTGATGAACTCTTTCAAGTTGTTTTTTCAATCAGTTGAGAATAAAAATGAACATAGTAGTGTATTTAAGTTGATGTGAGGTTATTCTGGTTTAGTGGGGGAAAGGTCAGAGGAAGCAGGACCTAATGAATGGTTATTAGTCTAATAAAGATGGACCTTAAGTCTCCAGGTGGGCGGATAAGGAGAGAGAATGCACAACCTTCTCGGCAGGCCTGTCAGCAGTTCAGCACCTCATAACTGTCTTAGTAATGCTTCAAAATACCAGGAGAAATAACTAAACACACTAGGTTCAATGTCTTGTGAAACAGCAGGGTTGAGTGAAAAAGGTACCATCTAATAGTGCTTGTTCCCTAAAATCAAGACCCCACACTGTCTCTCCACATTTGGAAGAGTCAACAAGCACTGACTAGAGGAGGGGAAACATTCTGTCCTCTTGCCCCAGACCTATATCTTAAGCAACTCTCTGATTCATTTAGGAGCTTTAGGTGGAGCTTACAACAGGACAGGGACAGAAGGAAGCTGGCAATAGTGCATCCCGTGCAGGGCCACTTAGACTTTTCCTAAGCGTTTCCTAAGTACCAGGAGCTAGAGAAATCCTGGGACCCTGTGCGCTAGGTGATTTTTTTTCATTATGAGATCTGTGGGTTCTTTGGGGACAGAGGTTTGGAGCTGTTTAGCTTCTTTTTAACACTGTTATCTGTACTATCCAACATAGAGCCCACAACTGGACCCAATTTTTCATAAAAATTTCTTTCCTGCCACCAGTTGGGAAGGGAACACATCTGACTCATCAATGGAGAAAGCTCACAGCGAGGGGAGGTGAAGATCCCACCTTAGCCCAAGTGAGGTCATTCTTGGTGGGTCCTGCCACACTGCACGTGTGACCTGCGGCTCTGCTTGTCAATTACCCAGGCTCTATTAGAGATGCAACCTGGCCAGCCTTTATAGACAATGAACAATGTCCTTTAGTTGTTGGCCAACAATGGAGTAAATCTTTTCCAATTGACTTTGGGTGAATAAATAATAATATGTGACCTCCAAAAAATATATGGCAAGGAGAAAGGAGTAGTATGCTAAAGACCCAAGGAAGGAAAAGAAGTAAAAACATACTATAGAAAATACATAGCTGGTATTGAACACAAAGTACAAAAGAATGTAGTTTTTTTTCTTAAAATTGAAACTATAATACAATGTATTAATGGTGGTGAACATATAAAAATAGCAAGGAAAAGCCAGATCATGAATGTGGTATAGGAAGCATTGGGGACTACAGTTTTAACCAGTATAGTCTGGGAGTTCTTACCTTCTAAAATGCTATAAATGAGCTAAAGTGTGTATTGAAAAGCATATAGTTTAGAATAGAAAGCAAGTCTCACTGTGTGGTGCTTACAACACACAGTATACCTAAAGAACAGACATAATACACACACATACAGAGAGAGAGAGAGAGAGAGAGAGAGAGAGAGAGAGAGAGAGAGAGAGAGGCTATTTAAAGAATCAAAGATAAATTTGGGAAATACTGAAAATATGATAATTTCAAAGAGAAATATTGAAAATATGATAATTAAACTACATGTAGGGTCTGGCGAGATAGCTCAACAGACTAAAGCGCCTGCTTATGCAAGCTTAGGCAAGCTCAAGGATCACAGTTTGATCCCTGGCACCACATGATGCGCTAGCCCCACCCCCAGGGCTGGCTGAGCCAGCCAGAGTCCTGGCGTAGTGGTGTGCACCTGTAATCCCAGGTCTGGAGAGGCCGAAAGCAGGAGGATAACCACTAGTCCAAGCTGTGTAGTGAGATCCTATAACAACTAAATACATTAAAATAAATAAATAAATAACATGTAAACCCAAAGAAGAGACATTGATGAGATAAAATATTATACCCCTAAAAATAAAAATTACACTTCATATATCTCACAAATAAACCATTTACACCTGATAATGTAACATTAAAATTCCTTGAATACTTAGATATAGTGATTCTCTCTCCCTCCCTCCCTCCCTCCTCCTCTTCCTCCTCCTCCTCCTCCTCCTCCTCCTTCTTCTTCCTCTCTCTTTCTCTGGTGCTTTTTGCATTCCCCCAATTCATCACTGTTTTCTCTTGTCCTGGATACATATTCACCCCATTCACACATTTTGGACTTCCTCACTCTGTGTATATTGTAGTATTTTAATGTCCCAAAGGTAGAACTGTCCTTTTCTTCTTGTCTCTCCAATGTTGATCATAGTCTCTGCACAATAAATACAGGCTGTGTTAACTGAACTCCTTAACAATGTGCCCCCCCCACCTGCCAATTGTTTTCCTTATCTTGTAGGTAGATGAGGTAACAGGAAGGGTCTGTGACCAGTTGCAGTATGAGGAATCCCACCCAGCCCAGTTGCTGAATACTAATCCACACCCAGCAATCAGTTTTCATTTTGCTGTACTAATGGTGGCTTCCATGTTCTGTAAGCATTACGGATACTAATCAATAATTCTGTCCACAAATATAAAATACATTTTAGGTAGAACTTCACACCAGCTTAGAAAAAAAGCTGCCCATTTGCTTCTTGCGCAAAGTGGAACAGAAGTCCATCGTCGTGTATCCCAACAGGCCCAGATATGGACGGATGCTTGTAAGTACGCTCAGAAAACAACAGCCTAACAAACATGAGGGTGCGCAACCTTCCTCCACTGCATTATCTTGATAGTGCCTTTTTATAGACTTTGACCCTCCAAGAAATAGTTGTACTTTTGTTAAAAGTAGTGACTAATCCAGTGTGAAAGCCCTGTGCCTCGTGCAGGGAGCTGCTTGTTCTCCATTTCCAGGTAGCTCAGCTGGAGTATGTGTGTTAAATACTCCATGTCCTTATGAGTGCAGAGAGGTGGGTGACCCAGCTGCGCCTTTTCATTCCTTGCAGGTGTACTTTGTTTTTTCTTAGTCATTTGCCACCTACATTTATATGTGTAGATAAATGTACATGTATGTAGGGTGCGTGAATATGTCCAAGCGTTTATGAAACATACAATAAGAACACACATATACATGTACACAAGAATTTCCTCTATGGAAAACACAAATAGTGATTTAAAAACCAACCTGGGCCAATACACTGTTATGGAAAAGTGGGCATATTAAGAGTCAGAAATTCTGGGTGCTAATACTGACCAGATCTGGGCTTCCCAGCTCTAGGATTATTCTTGAGTTCTTTGCAAGTTTATTTTCCCTTATGTAGTCATACAACAAGTTGATCTAAGTATCAGTCTAGGGTTTGTTCTAACTTCACAGCATTTCCTTGTCCTGTTTCACTTATGTCCATGGTTCCAGTTGCTACCTAAGTGGAGTGCTTGCAACTCGTTTCTCTATCCCAGAGCCTGTCTTGGAGTTGGAGGCTTGTATACCTCACTGCCAACTTGACAGCTTCATTTGTACATCTCAAAGCTAATTGACAATCAGAGTGTTCAGCACCACACTTGCTTCACCTCATTTTTCTACTTACATGGGGAAGGAGTGAAAAAATCCTTGTCCATCGCAAATATTCTTCATTGTGATTAATATCAACACCAGGCATTTCCTCGTAAACCAGCCACACCAGAGGCAGCCATGACAGTCTCCTCCACTTCCTCTCCCCTGAAGTCCACTCCAGCCCTTATTTGGTCCACTGACTTCCTGGGTGACCTGTGGCTGTCACCAGGCCGTCGTCTCTTGCCTACCCTCCTAGAGGTATCTCATTCTTGACCATTTCACATCTACATCTTCCCTTGATCTTTTTTTGCCCACCCAGGGTTTAAAGGACACCAAACTTAGCAGGAGGTTTGTCTCAGTGTAGAATGCTCACTTGGCATGCACAGAGTATGTGTACAACACCCCATGTCCTACCTGGAAGTGGAGAACAATGGCTCCAATTCTTGGCACCACATATACACACACACGGACTAAATTTAAAACATTGCTAAAATTATATTCCATAAACTTCCCTATGTGAAATTTTGTTCCTGAGTTCAGTTTTGTTGGTTAAAAATGTGAAAAATATTTTAAGAATTAAGAAATCTTGTATCGACTGGCATCACCCATGTGATCATTTTTCATGAGAATTTATAAAATGATCCCATTCAACCTTTTCAAAAACAATCCTGTAGACCATTTTATGTCTTCTACATTGTTTATACAATTTTTATTTTCCTTTTGTGTATAATTTCACTATATAGATTTTTAATGGCTGTTCCTCAGAGTAGACTTTTACCTCTTTGAGGACCACAGAGTAGTTTATGAATACTTGTGCTATCCAGCCTGGCATGGTGTTAGGATTCTGGCATACGTGTGGCAGATATCTCCTGAAGTGAATCACCTTTAGTAACTATTATGTCTTATCCCACAGCGTTTATTTCATTATTTTTTTGGTATCCAAGAAGCAAAACAAGAAATACCAAATACTGATACATGTTTAGAATTGGAAATGCTGAAACAGAAATACCGGTATGTGTTTTTCCTTCTGTTTGTACTGGAGAAATTAAAAACAGAAGTAATAATTCAGAGTATACAGTTATGTTCATGTCAGTATTTTTTGCATTTAGTTATGATTTAATGTTTGAATAGCTAGTGTATTGAGAATTGTGGGACATCTTTTATACCTAACACCTTACTGCTGCTGTTCCCAGTTTGCTTTCCAAAGAATAAATGAGTGAAAGTTAGATGCTGATTTTCTTAATCTTGGAAACATTCATTATCATTGATAATGAAGAGAGGACTCTTCTGAGTTGTCTGACTTTATACAGCAAACCTCTGACAGCCTTCAAAGACTCATAGAGTAATTATATGGAAAATAATAATTAGGTATCAGGGTTGTTGGATTTGCTTACCTGAATTTAAAGCCATATTCAACTGTTTACAAACTCTGTGACTCTCGGGAAAGGTACTTAACTTTTCTGTGTAGAGTTCCTTGTCTATAAGCTGAAAACAACAACCAGCCATGCACTAATCATGTAACTTCCAGAAAAATCACTTGAATTTCAAAAAATATGTATTTGGTGGAGGGAATATAAATACCACAAGGCTGTAATCTAAGTAGTTAATCAGATATAAAACACTTATAGCACCTGTGTCTACCTACATTCAGATGTCAAAAGAAGTAGAAACAAATTCACAAAACATACATTTTTCTTTTAGGCTAAAGGACCTCACTTCTCTCTTGGAAAAGCAGCATGAGCTAATTAAACTCATCATTCAGAAGATGGAGATCATCTCTGAAACTGAGGATGAAGATAACCACTCTTCTTTCCAAGACAGGTTCAAAAAAGAGCGTCTAGAGCAAATGAACAGCAAATGGAATTTTGTTTTAAGAGCAGTTAAGACAAAACCACACTCTCCTAAGGAATAGCCACGCACACCTTAGTGGGGCTTCTTAGGGGTGGAAAGCTATATGGTTTATTGCTTCTAATTTTAATTTACAAGAGTGAGAAAGAAGCAGAAATCTGATTGATCTCACTATAGAGAAAACTATGGTTCCCACAGTCTGTGTCAGAGTAAAGTGCTTCTCCCTATTCATATTTTCTGGCAACCACTGTCTATTAATAATATTTTCGCTAAAATGTTCAAGTTGGACTTTCATGAAAAGTAATCATATTATTTGAATGGATAGGAAACAGATTTTCTAGAACATATACTTTAAAGGTCAAAGAGTGATAAGTGTAGTTATTAAGATAGAGTACAAATGTCAACCCTCTATTCCCACTTGATAATAATATAGCATGAGATGCCTTAGATAATAGTCTGAAGTATTAGGTTTAGTGCTAATGTGGAAAACCCTACTGTGGCAGAAGAACCTGTGGGTGGCGTCCAGTGTACTCTGTTCCTGCTGTGATCCCTGGCTGTTCCCTTCATGTCGGTCCCTGCACATCTGATGTCCCTTGGAGCCATACAGCTGAAGTCTAATATTGAGGGCATGCATGAATTTTACTTCAGATGGCATGTGTTAATTCTGTATTTCTTGTTTCAGTGATCAGAATAAACAAAATCAATAATGATTCCTTGGGGATGATGTGCACCTTTTACTACATTTTGATGTGTGAGATTTGCAAAAATGCCATCTGTCCTTTATTCTTTTGCTATCTAGTAGAAAGCATGAATCAATAACACATTTTCTCGTTGATCTTTACGAGGTCCTTCACATTTTCTTTCCCCCCTCATCCTGATTCTCATGTTTATTCCCTCACTGTCTTCAGGAGATGCCCACTCCAATTAATATATCCCTGGCTATGTATATGGCCTTGTATTATATTGTAACCGTGTTTTTTAATTTTTTTTTATTTTTAAATAATACAAAATAGAGGTGGAAAAAAAACAGCCTTATAAATAATACAAGATTTCATTAAACAAAGTAATAGGAATTAAACAATGGTTGCTGTATTACATGATGCTATTTTCAAATCAGTTGTTCAGATTACCAGATATAAATGTGCAAGATTCGTGTAAAGATAAACAAAACAAAAAAGACAAAACAAAGAAGTTATAAGAAATTCAGGGGCTGGGGAGATAGCTTAGTAGAATAAGTACCTGCTTGGCAAGTACAAGGGCCTGAGTTCAATCTCTGATTCTGCAAAAATAAAAAAAAAAGTTCAAAAGAGGAAGAAAAAAATCAGAGTAAAAACATTTAAGCATTGACTGCTCCTTTCAAAAGACCAGCAAAAATCAACCATACACTAATCCAAACTATTCTGCATATATATTTTGAGTGCTTTTGCTGTGCATGAATGTAATAATTTTGTGGTTTTTGCTGTCTTACTCTTTCCCACCGGACACTATGTTTGCAAGATAAAACTGCTACCATATGTGCATGTAGCACAGAACCCCCAACAGCCTCTTATCAACTGCTCTGTGGCTCCCACCACACTGATCTAGACAAAGCCATCTGGGCAGCCTCCACTTTCCTGACAGGATACACATTCTCAAATATACACTCAATACCAAATGGTGGAATACTGAGTGACAATTTATAATACTACTTCCTTCTTGTGTTCAACAGAACACAAAGTATAAGGGAAATTTTATATTCTCCAGTCTTTGACATGATCTTTGTTTTTTATTTGCCTTAAACCGGAAAGGCTAAACTGGATATGGTAGTTTGTGTCTGTAATCCCAACACTCTGGGATGCCAAGGCAGGAGGATCACAAATTCAAGTCCAGCCCAGGAAAATTAGTGGCTTAGCAAGACCCTGCATAGTCTTGAACTCTCAAGGATCCTCCTGCCTCAGCCTCCCAGTGGCAGAATGCTGGGATTATGGAATTATAGGCATGCGCCACCATGCCTGACTTTAAGACCCTGATTTATTTTTATTTATTTAGTTTTGAACTTTTTCTTTTGTGGAACCAGGGATTGAACTCAGAACCCTGCGCTTGCCAGCCCCTAGACCCTGTTTTAGAATGAAAAAGAAGAACAAAGACTTGAGATGTAGTTCATTTGAAAGCTTAGGAGAAAAAAAGAAATTAGAGGAAGAGGCTGGGGGAATGGAGGGGAGGGAGGAGAGGAAAGGAGAAAACAGAGGAGGGGATGGGAAAGAGAGAGAGGAAGGGAGGGGAGGAGAGACTAGAAATCCACAATACATGAGCAACAAGGAATACTGTGAAAGTCCCTGATTGTAAAAGGAAGCTGTCTTCTCGATCTTCACATTGCGCAAACGTTTTGCAGCGCTGATCGTCAGGCATCACTTACTGAGCACCAAGAAAGTGTGATACACAGGAAGGGCCCCTGCTCCTGGGGAATTCTGAAGTAAATAGGTTCCTTTTCACCAACCTCAACAACCGGTAAGCTCTCGAGAAGCTGAGTATTTTATGAGTCATCATTTACTTCCCGAAGTTCTCTCTTCATTTCTCCTCTGCACACCACGTTCTCCTTCCTTGCCACAGTCTCTCTCTCTGTGTCTGCTTTCTTCCAGACCGGCCTCACTTGCCCGGACACTCCCTGAGGTTGGCCTCCTCGGGAGCTGTACCTGACTCTTGTTCACACACAGGCCTTCCTCTCCTATCACACAGTCTACACTGACTCACTGAGGTATGCAGGTGGCAAACTGATACAATTTCTTCTGCTCCTTTATCCAAAGTCCACCTTGCATTTCCATAGTTCTTTAAAATAAACACAAATCTAAACTTGGTGAAGGAGGGGTGCACAAACCAGTACTTCTTCGTTTCCTGTTTCTCATCAGTGGTATCAGGGTTCTAGACTTGACCCTCAGCCGCAAATGGACTGAGGTCAACAATGAAACCGCCAATGGAATCAGAATCCTGTAGGCACTGATCCTCAATGGCAGCCAGAAGATCTCACTGATAGTGGAGACCTCCATCATGCGCACGACAATCCCTTAGCTCACAGAAGCTGACAGTGACAATTGCACATGGCTCTGCTCATCCTTTCTGCCTGCAAGTCAAGGCAAGTGGTGCTGCTAGTGTAAAGGGGCGCCAAATTCAATTGTAGCAGAACAGTATTTAGATTGCTAATAAAGAGAAACATATAAAATGGGTCTTTTATGTGAACCAGAAATACTTAAAAGTTTATTGGAAATGTAATCTGCTTTTAAGAGCCAAACCTGAAAATGGAATTGAGGGTTGAGGAAGGAAACTCAGAAGAAAGAGCTGTCAGCAGTGGTTGACAACTTAGGTTTTTTTTTTTTTTTTTTTTTTTTAAAAGCTGATGGAGGAGAGAAACAAGATGACTTAGTAGCTCATGAACATAAGATGTTTCAGCAATAGGTCAGGACCTGCAAAACTGGTACCTAAAAGTAGGGTTCACCAGCACTCTTGCAAAAAGTAATACCAAAGCTCAGGAGTCAAAACAACCAATTCTTATGCAGCCCCTCTTACCCCCAAGAAACAACTACTCCTCAAACTCAAATTTCTTAACTAGGATCTCTGTGGGTGTGGGCCTTCAGGGACAAAGCAGAATCTTTAGTTTACATCCTTACTTAAATTATCCTACAAAGAGGAAAATATGGGGAAAAATCAAAGGCATTTGCTTTCCTGTTTAAAAATCAACTCAGGGGGCTGGGAAGATGGTTCAGTGGGATAAGCACTTCCCTGGCAAGCACAAGGGCCTAAGTTCAATCCCCGGTTCTGCCAAAAATAAATAAATAAGTAAGTAAGTAAATAAATAAATAAAAATAAAAATCAACTCAGTAGTACTCTAAACTCTGCACAGCAGTCAAGATCCACAGGCGCAGCAGTCAAGATCCATTTGTTTTGAGAGAGACAAAGTAGAGAATTCCCAGTGGAATAAACCAGGAGCAGAAGTCAATGACTGCAGGCATCTGTACTTTAAATAGACTGGATCTAGATGCAAAAATATCTCACAAACACACACACCTGCAAACACTGTTTTCTGTACTGCTGGCTGGTGTCCGCAGCAGAGGAGCTACAGGGTGGATCCTATGAGGGAAGGAAACCGAGAAAGCCAGACTGGAGCCTTCGGGGAGGGACTCAGCTTCTCCACTCCAGCAGCTGGTGGCAGGCAGCATGACCACCTAGACGGCGCCTTTCCAATGTGAGGGGTGGTGCAGAGACCAGAATCTTCTGGAGAGTTTGAATGCTGAACTATAAAAATGTGGGCAGCAAGCGAACTGTGGATGTACATGACTACCAGCTCTGGAAGTAGAACCAGGATCATTTCAAGTTTGAGGCCAGCCTGGACAACTTAACACAGTTGGCCAAGACTTTGCCTCAAAATTTAAAAAAAATTATAAAAATGGGTACTCAAGAGGGAATAACATCGTGATCTTGTGCTCAATTCTGCCATTCCTTATCAGCTTGCAAGAGAATAAAATGGCTTCGCTCTCACCCAACACCATAAACTCAATATTCAGTGTGAAAGATCTGACATTATAATTTGTCTTCCTATAATCACAATGCTGCTACATCATGTCTCAATATAAATATGACCCAAACCAATAAGTGGGATCGATATAATATCTAGTAACAAAAGATCAGAAGTTTTAAATGTTTCTATCAATTTATAAGTGCAGTCCATAAACCCAATCAAGTATTTCAAACGTAAGTTGCTTGTAGTACTCTAGTCTATTTTCAAATGTCAAGGTTGTTTAATTTGTTTAATTATCTAGAACCCTGATACCACTGATGAGAAACAGGAAATGAAGAAGTGCTGGTTTGTGCACCCCTCCTTCACCAAGGTTGTTTAGTTTGTCAAGGTTGTTTAAAGTGAACTGGAATAGAGTCAAAATATAGGTAGGTCTTTGAGGAAAGTTCAAGTGAAAAAAGAATAAGGATGGGGTGTTTTGATTAAACAGTTTAGAATCATAATTGAAAAAAATAAAGTACATTTTAAAATGTTTTCATTTATTATTAATTTACTTTTAAGTAAATCTTTTGCTAAAGTGATAATAGAAAAATATTATGTGTACATGCATATGAACTATCAGAAATAGCAATTAACTGTTCATTTCCTTAACTGAGTTCACAGATTTGTAGATATAATCCCACATTTTGAAAAATAATAATCAGGAAACTATTTACAAATGATTATACTGAGTTACTATGGAAAATAATTTTTAAACATAAAAATATGATTTAAACAATATATTTCAAAAGACAAAGCATTTTAATTACTGAAATCAGATGAGTAACTAGAATCATACGTTTGAGATACAGTTAATGTACGGAATTTATGTGTGCAATATAAAATTTTTAATGATGATAAAAATGTCAGATGATTTCTAATCAAACAATGAATGTATCATAGATTTAAAAAATATAACCACTTAATCACCAAGAAGTTATCAGAACCTTCAAAGGAGAACATTTCAGTCAAGAGCAGCATCAGATATATCTTTCATGTTAACCTTACCTCTAAATATTCTGCTCTAGACAGCGATTTCAGATCTGCTTGGCTAATAGCACTGTGATTGCTGGTATTTTCAGCTGGATTTAGCTTGTCTGTGCTGCCCTTTTAAACTAAGTTAGAAAAAGGAAAACACCTTGTTCCTCTGATGCCCTGTGTATATATTGTGGCTATTTCAGGATTTAAGGTAATGGAAAAAGCACCTTTTGTTTCATTTTTCATTGTAATGAGAACCATCTGACATATGCGACAATCCCACTAGATAAGATGAGAGCAATGAAATAGAGCTGAAACATGAAAAGAATGCTCCCCGCAGTTCTACTGAGCACTGAAGAGTTGATGTATGACATTTTAAAACTTTAATTATTGCTGAATCCAAACTTTTCCACAAGAAACATACCAATGTTGATTAACCAACAAATTTTGTAACAGACCAGAGCTGGGGGAATATGAATATGTTATGACACAGGACACCTGGGCTGATTTTTAATGAGAAAATGACTCATTCACAAATCATTACTACTTAAGTTTAAGTTTCAAAGATCACACCAAATGCTGCAGGCCAGTAGATTGTACTTTCAGTATTGATCATTAATTGTACTTAGAGTCAAATCGCATGCATGTCAGTTCCAAATGGTGAACAGCTAGTGGTAAGCATATTAAATCATGAACTTTGATTTAGAAGAGAATCAACTCCATTCAAATCAAATTAGGAGACTTTCATACTTGATATTTGAAATTTAAGGAAATCTAAAGTACTTTTTTTAGAAGTTATTAGGCAGACAATAATATAATGTACCTAAAAGCGGAAAATAAAGCAGGTGGTATAAAAAAAGTTAAAAAGAAGAAAAGTCAAGAACCATAAAAATTCAGAAACATTAAACAAGACTCCATAGATAAAGTCTGTAAGTTCTGACAAAAATCTAAATATCAATAGTTGACTAAGTCTTCCTCACTTGGATTGTGGAATTTAATTATTTGAAGATGATCTGAACTATTACAGAAAGTTAGGGGAGTAACCAGGAAAACAGAACCAAAGAACACCAGGAAAGTACATGAAGCCAGGCACAATTATTGCTTACATTGATAAAGGTTTGGATCTACAAGGATGTTATGAGTTATCAACCTTTTTGTTTTGAATAAATCATTGAACTATGTCAAGCTATAACTGGTAGAAATTTATCACTGGTGGAAATACTGTGGGAGCGTCTTATCACATCTCCATTAGCTTAATCCCAGCTCTATGCTTACGGATTGTTTGCTCTATCAAAGGTTATTGAAACACAGTTTTCAAAAAACCAGGAGGGGAGTGTCCTTGGGGCTGAGGCAGCTGATAGAGGAAACCAGCTGCTAGAGTCACATAAGTGCCAACAGGAAGCCCCTAGACCAAAACGGGAGGTCCTGGACAGCCCCTGGCCCCTGAGCAGAGCCAAGAGGTGGGCTTCTGAGCTCACAGGAAGCTTTGTGCTGCCCTTCGATAGCTAATTACAGTTCCTAGTGTTGCCTCCATATCTGACCAGGTTTATTTTTTTCTCTCTGGCTATAGTTTGCTTTTTTAATTTATAATATTTATATTCCATTTTAAATTACCATAGGCCTCCCTTCCAAGTACTAACCAGGCCTGACTCTGCTTAGCTTCTGAGATCTGACAAGATCAAGAGTGTTCAGGGTAGTAATCTGAATAACTAATTTATTTTTTTATTTTATTTTTTTAAAAAAAGAATATTTAGTGAATTTTTTTTTTTTTGTTATAGTTGGGATATTGTCTTGCTATTCCACCCAGGGTGGCCTTGAACTCAAGATCCTTGTGCTTTGGCATCCTGAATGCTAGGATGGGAGGCGTGTGCCACCATGCCGAACTCTTACGTGTATTTCCTATGTTTATTTATTTCTTTAGGTGGTGGGAAACAAACCAATTTGTGCATGCTAAGCACATGTTATTTCTAAAACTCTGAGGCTTTGGAATACAGTTCAGAAACATTGTCTCAAGAGCATTCAGAATCAGGAGGAGCTGAGAGTATGCAGTTATGCTACTGTTTGCTCCCTCTTTGCAGCCGTCTGAGTTGTCTGTGTAGATGTATATGATTATATATGCATATATTATGTATATGTATATATGTGTATGATGTTTTTGGAGAAGGGATCTCACGATGCTATCCAGGCTGGCCCTGCATTCTCAGTCACCGGGTAGCTGGGTTGCAGGTATGTGCCCTGTGCCTGGCTGCATGGGTGGGTGGGGAACAGAGGGGAGGCTGGGAAAGGACTCCAGGCATTTCCTCCCAGAGGACTGCAGCCAGGACAGTGTCTCCCACTAAGGCTCTACCCAGCTCCCCAGTGGCCTTGCACTGTTTCTTCTGTGTTACAAAGTCACTCCAGAAAGCCACAGCTGTGAGAGACAGACTGAAAGGCTCTTGAAACCAGTCTGTGCTTTGTAGGAAATTCTCCCGCTGTGTGTGTCATCTAATCACGGCCACCCCACATTCCTAACATTTAGATTTATCAAAGTAGTTTTGCCTTCGGATGAATTCAGCTGCTCTTCCATTGTCAATAGCAATGCTTGCCTTT